TTCACTGTCTAGCCCACTGGTTTTCAAACTTTTTGTATTGGTGACTCTTTTCACACATAGAATCATAGAATATCAGGGTTGGAAGGGACCTCAGGAGGTCATCTAGTCCAACCCCCTGCTCAAAACAGGACCAATCCCCAGACAGATTTTTGCCCCAGATCCCTAAATGGCCTCCTCAAGGATTGAGCTCACAACCTTGGGTTTAGCAGGCCAATGCTCACTGACCAAAATATATTATTGTTTCAGTACACACAGTTGCAGTATTAACTTCTATGAGATTAAGTGAATGGGAAACACAAGGAGAACACACAGCAAGTTTATTTTTGGACATAAGGCAGGCCTGAATGCCTTTTAATTTTCCTGACATATTGGATCCATTATCAAATCCTTGACCTCTACAGTCATCAAGTGGAATTTTATGGTGCTTCACACTGGCAATTAGCATTTCGCCTATCTGTTCTCCACCTTTTTGATCAAAGTTGATGAACTCAAGAAATCCTTCTTGAATGTTAAATGCATCACTATCTTGGTCCTGAACTACAAACATGAATATCAACACACTTTGTTCATGGTGAGAGGCATCAGGGTAGCATCACGAATGATAGAATAATAGATAGCTTTTTCTCTCTCTCTGCAAGAATGGCCTTCTGCAGGCTTTTACTACATAATTCAATACATTCATTCTAGCTCCCACAAGAGGTAATGTGCCTATTTTTGCATTATTCTACCCTCTACCTGCTTCTGTTTGACTTTAACCAAATAGTCACAAATTATGCTGTCATAATGAGCTAGTAATTCAAGAGTTTCAAAAAATTTGCTGTTGTGTGGATCATCAATATCTCCTTGGAACGCTAAGCCTCCTGAAGCAAGAAGTAAGGTAACAGTCAGCATTTTTTCCAATATTGCTCTCTATCTTGCAGATTCTGTTAATATTTGTTTTTGAATCTCACTGTCTACTCCCCATCCATCTGACAGTGACTGCTCTAATTCCTTCCACTGGCAGTAGCAGGTTTTATGTTCTATGCTGTTTTCATGTTCAGGGAGTTTATTATATAGTTTTCACCATTTTTTCACACTTGGTGACTATTCTTAACTATTTGCCAGTGTACTGCATTGTTTTATTTGTCTTTCCCTTCAGAAAATAGCCAACATAAAAAGCAATATGGTGCTTTGTTCGTAGCACTCCAAACAAGCCAGTCTCTTGGAGACTTTTCTCTGGTGTTGGACATCTGACATTTGAGAAGAAATTCAGGAAAATTAGTCCATGAACATCTTTTGTCATTGACTTCCCTAGCTTCCACATTTCTTCAAAATTTAGAACACCAGATAGAATATTTTTTGTTACAGAATTTGTAATGTGTTTAGGCCACAATCCTGGATCTTTTAAAAAGTAAGTAATGTAGCACAACTCTCTCCTGCTTCTTGCTAACCTTCCTCTGAGTCTAGTGGCACTGGTGGTGGTATTACTGGACTGTCTTTGAAGTTATTAGATTGGAATCACATGATTAATCTGGCTGCTTTTCTTCATCAATTTCCACAGTCTCCAGATTGAAATCACCTTCCTCTTGTTTATCCAGTTCCCCAGTTTGTGCATTGCTTGAGCCAGATTATTGGGAGGCCTTATCTGTCTAGAAAAATTGGTGGATTGACTGGCATCCTTTTGCTTCTTTTTCCCCCTTTCTTTAAGCTCCTGACGTTTCTGGCTGCCTGATTTGAATTTATATCCAGACATGGCAGTATGGCACATATATTAATTATACCTCAGTGACAAATGCCCTCTTGGCATCCTGGAGGTACTGTCCCCTATCCCAAGGATCTGGTCTCAGCCCTTCTAGGCACCCTGGAGGACCAGCTCACTTTTTGGAATGTTGCTTCTGTTCTAACACTGCTTCTGGTTGGCTCAGGTAAATCTTGCAAGATCTTGCGAGATCAGTATGCCACACGGATAGATGGGTACAAACATGCTTACCGAGATGGTATAAAATAACATTTATTCAAACTCAGAAGTCCACAATTTACCTTGAATTTTTATCCCCTGGTGATGGGCTTGTGGCCTTCTGGCTGGCCCCTTGGACTAGGCCCTGGTAAATTGTACCCCTTCCCCCCCCTTTACTTGCCTTCTAACATAAGGGGCATCCCTTAAAATGAGGGGCAGTTGAACAGTAGTTCCATCCAACTTGTCAATGGAAAAGAAGAGAGAAAAGATGAAAAGGAAAAAAGGGAGAGGGAGAATACAGAGATATAGGAAAATATGGGGATTGGGAGGAGAGAGACAAAGAGAAAAGATGGCTCTGACTATTGTACCCCCTCTGAGTCAATAACTATTGGGTATAGATGGTGAGTGCTAAATTCCACCACATGGCCCCAGTCATATGGCACTGATTGGTTACAAAAAGTTTTATCTCTGCCACATGGGTGGCATCAGTATCCACAGGCAACTGTGATTTCAGCTGGTCCAAACGCTGCTCTTGCTGAGTAAAGTCCTCAAAGAGCCTACTAAAGAAGTGGAGGATTTTCCATATCTAGCCAACCCTTTATTTATTAACTTAACATTTTGATCACAAGTAAGTGCTTGTTAAAAGAACTGTCAATGACGAGCTAGTTCGCCTCCAGTGTCATCTCCACGTCAGCTGCTCCTGTATGACATAAAAACCTCTGGAGAGTATAAACTGTCCATGAATAAATTTACATTGGAAATTAAAAGAAGGTTTTTAACCATCAGAAGAGTGAGGTTCCAGTAGGAATGGGGGTGGGGGTGGGACAAACTAATTAGTATTAAGATAGAGATAGATAAATTTATGAATGGGATTGTTTGATGGGGTTGCCTGTGGTGATGCAGGGAGGGGGAGCAGCCCAGGGGGTCCCTTCTGGTTCATGTCTTATGTTCCTAAAATTTCATGCTTCAGGGCTTCATCTGGTCACCTGCAGGGTAAGGAAGGAATACATTTCCCCCCAATGTATTCTGTTTTTTTTTATGGCCATGGCTATGGATGGGGTGGGCTGATGTTCTGAGGTGGTACTGAGACTTCTCTTTCCCAGGTGCTCAACTGGTGAGTCTGGTTCACATGCACAGGGACAAATTAATTCAAGGTCAGGAACAAATTTTCCCCAAATCATGTTTGTCATGTCCTTAGCGTTTTTTTCACCTTCCTCTGTAGGATGGGGTACAGGTCACTTGCTAGGATCCCACTTAATCAATTCCCTGCCATTGCAAAGGTCTTGACAACTAATGGCACCTTGGCCCTTTTTGTTCTCTGGCTGTGGCACACAACAGTTTAGTGTCCTGAGGGCTATAATACTTTGGTCTCATTCTGGTTGTTGTGCTTGGTGTGGATGTGGTGGGGTTGCGTTTAGTTCCCTGCAACGTGCAGGAAGTCAGACTAGATGATCTGGTAGTCCCTCTGGCCTTAAACTCTATGACTCTACAACTGTCGAGGAAAATTCAACTTTTCTTTATGTTGGGGCCTCAAAGAGGCAGGATTCCTGCCAAAGTGACTATAGGTCTGAGAGTTAGGGTTGAATGAAGAAAACAGCTGGACAATGGAATTTATGAGATGCATGTGTCACAAACTGGCCTGAGACCTTCATCACCTAAAGCACAGATCACTTATCCCTTGAGCTAAAAGAAGAGTTACTTCATCTGTCCCATAGTTTTGGACTCTGGAACTGAAGGGGCCAGCCACTAGAGGGAGACATGACCACATGCACAGTCCTGTATTACATGCCTTCCCTGTTAGATATTATCACATGCTACCCCTGTTAGATGTGTTTATAGTGAGAGTCTGAGATACAGGAGTAAAAACTTCCATCTGGACAGCCATTGTGGAGGGAATCATGGATTCAGACACAGTGGAGAACATCTTTAGTTCAGGATGCTCTTTAGCTTTTGGTACTGAAATTCCAGAGTTCAGTCCCCAGTGACAGCCATGGTAAGTGACTATGTAGGCAGCAGTGATGTGTTACACAAGGTCATATGCAGGGGCGGCTCCAGGCACCAGCGCACCAAGCGCATGCCTGGGGCGGCAAGCCGTGGGGGGCGGCCTGCCGTTCGCCGTGAGGCTGCCTTTGGCAGGTCCGCCCGTCCCGCGGTTTCAGAGGCAATGGGTAAGCCGAAGGCGCGGGACCGGCGGACCTCCCACAGGCATGCTGCCGAATCCGCATTACCAGCCGACCTCCCGCAGGTGCGCTGCCGAAAGCCGCCTGACTGCCATGCTTGGGGCGGCAAAATACATAGAGCCGCCCCTGGTCATATGATTAAAACATGAGATGGGAAGCCTATTTTTTAGAAGTACTGAACACCCAAACTCAATAGGAAGTCAACAGAGCTGACTTGTTGAGCTAAAGTGTTGAGTACCCCTGAAAATTCTGGGAGATTAGACAACTAGGTTCTTTTCCTCTCATTCACAAAGCATAAATTGGTGGTAATAACCATATGTACTGTACTTTGCAGGTGTGCTGTGCAGTTGGATTCATTGAGATCCTCAGTTGCAAGGAGTGATAGAAATGCAAAGTACTATTAATTATTATGATGCACAGTAGTGATAGTCTAGTGGCTGGGAAAACAAAGAGTATGTCACATAGTTTGCTGTCTGATCCCTTGATATACTTTTGGAAACTGAAGGCACTGAGCCACATTCAGCCCTGGTGTTAACCCGTTGAAGTCAATGGGGGTAACAACATGAATGAATTTGGTGCAGCATTTCCATTGAGATCTATGGCACTATGCCTTGGCCCCTAGAAAAGTGACTGATTGTGCTGGCTTCTTATGGGAAAAGTACGGTGGGTCACTACTGTAGTGAGATGTCATTTTTCTTTACGGCTGTGCCAAAAGCTCAACTGCAAAGGTTTTGCAGGAACAGAAGAAGGAAAAAAGCCATTGACGATGCAGCACAATCTAGCCCAACTTTATTTAATGCGGCGCTTTCCATACCAATTAGGCTCCCCAGCTGGTGGACTTCACCATTGCGGATTCCTGATCCATTCCCCCATCCAACCTGCTTTTCCTTCCTGTAGCTGGCCAGCCGGAGCCCAGCCTGCTGCCGTCTCTCCGCAGGAGCTGCTGACATCACAAGCGGCCCTTCCTTTTGTGTGTTCCTGAGCGCACCGGGGGCTGCGTGGGGACAATGGAATCCTGAACTCGGGGCGCGGGCAAGTGGGAAGCTGCTGCTGAGGATGAGTCAAGGCTGAGCCCGGGGAGGGGAGGGGAGAAGCTGCTGCTGCTTGAGGGCTGGAACAGGTGAGAGACGGGGAGGAAGCTGCTGCTGCTGCTCTAGGGCTGAGCCAGGTGAGAAGTTGTTGCTGCTGCGGAAGGGATGGGGGGGGCGGTTTTGGGGCCAGGCGAGCCGGGGTGGGAATGGGCAGGAGCCCGGCTCAAGCCGTCACGCAGCCCCAGCTGCTCCCTCTGCCCCCTAGGACCGGGGCAGGGAGCTGAGCCTCGGACCCTCTTTATTCTGCCCCCCGGCAGGGCACTCGGCAGAGGAGCCTCCAGCTGCGGCCCCGCAAGGCTGGGGCTCCCGCGGCGCCTGCCCCCTGGGGGCGAGTGCGGCCGGTTCCCCCCAGCCCGGCTCGCCGAGGGGCCGGGGAGGAGCGGGGCAGCCATTGCCTGGGTAAGAGTTGCTGTTGCAGCACTTCCGCTTCTCTCCCAGCAAGAGACAC